GGCACTCTAGGTGTGCCCCTTGTGTGAGCTGTGTACACCCTCCTCTTGTAGTTGAGCTTTGATTACTGTTGGTAGGTTCATGGGAGGAATCTACCCCCAGACTGATTAGCTGCAAGGACTGGCTGCAACCACTGTGGAAGATCAGCTGCATCAGGGCCCACCCCACAGAGCAGTACTCACTTTACTGGGGCTCTGGTTTCTTCTGAGTCCGACCCCTGATTGTGCCACTTGTGGTGGTGGCTCTAGGACTTCCTGGGGGATGCAGGCCAAGGTCAGCCAATACCTATGTCCTGCCTGGGCCCACCCAGCATGAGCTACAAAGCGATCTGCAGATGGCTGCTACTTGTGCTGGGCTTGGAGGACCAAAGCTGGTTTCTGCCAATGCCAGGCCTGGGGCCACTTAGCAAGAGGTATGGGGATTGCTGAGGCCAGATGTTGCTTGTTGGAGAGATTTTAGGAAACTCTGAAGCATGAGCCGAGATAGTCCATTGGTATGGAAAAGTCACTGGAAACAGCTTGGGTGGGCCTGTAAACTGGGTGGGACAGGGTCTCAGGGAATTACCAAAGCAGGCAAACAGTATGAGCCAGGTTGATGGAAACTCAGATATGGTGCCCACCTGCCTGTTCTGTCAGAGGAAGGCTCAGCAAAGGAACAGTGGCCTCTGCCAGCACTTCTGTCTGGAAGAAAGCCACCCCTCCAGCCCTCATCCTGATGCCAGAAAATTGAGTTCCTCCTTGTACGTCCCTGGTGCCTTTCAAGCTGCTGCTGCAGTGCTGAAGCTAAGAGTAAGTGAGTCCAAGTCAGTTTGTGTGTGGGCCCTTTAAGAGGAGCTGCCTGGGGCTCCAGAAGCCTCAGCCTCCCTCAGCCTCAATCCACGCTGGTGTTTACAGTCAGAAGTTACAAGGACTTTTCTTCCTGACACTGGAACCCTGGGTTGGGGCACTGGTGTGGGGCTGCTCCCCTTGATCTTCAGGGGGAAACTCTGCAGATGAGATATCCCTCTGGATTTTTAACCACCACATATAGGTGTGGGGATGAGCCCGTTCTGCATTTCTGTTGTTGCATAGTTTAGTTTAATTTTGATGTGTTTGTGGGAGGATTCTAGTACTGGTCTACCTGTGCCAGTACCTGGACCGGAACCCAGTGCATGCCTTCTTGGCAGTCTAGGCATTTTAAAGGCCCAAGCAGTTAGGAGGGGAGAAATCCTCTCACTATGTGGGAACTGAGTTGCTTCCTCACTGTTTGCAGGTAGCTGATCCTGGGTAGGGAAAGGCTGAGGGATCTAATATCATTCAAATAGTTTCATATCTTCATAGCAATAAAAACATTTCAGGAAAAATCCTTGCTAAAGCTAAGATTTGAGGATTACTGGAAGAGTTCACTTGCCGTTACTTCATTTATCAAAAAAAAATTTTGACTCATTTTTATTGTTGAATGTATTATAGATGTCCCCCCTTTTTTCCCCATTAACCCCCTCCTCCCCAACCCCAGCCCCCTCCAGCCTTCCCCACACTATTGTCAGTGTCCATTGCTCATGCATATATGCATAGAAGTTCTGTGGTTTATCTGATCCCACCCTCCCTTCCCCCTTCCCTTTGAGGTTCATCAGTCTAACAACCAATTTGTACTTCTTAATTTCTTTATCTTTTTCACCCATTTCCCCAGCCCCACCCATCTGGCAAGCAACAAGAAGTTCTCAGTATCTATGAGTCTGTTTCTGTTCTGCTTGCTCATTTTGTTGGTAGATTCAATTGTTGATAGATATGTATTAATTGCCATTTTATTGTTCATATTTTTATTCTTCTTCTTCAAGAAGACCCTTCAACATTTCATATAATACTGGTTTGGAGGTGATGAACTTTTTTAGCTTTTTCTTGTCTGGGAAACTCTCTACATGTCCATCAATTCTAAATGATAGCTTTGTGGGATAGAATAGTCTTGGTTGTAGGTCGTTGCTTTTCATCACCTTGACTATCTCTTGCCACTCCTTTCTGGCCTGCAAAGTTTCTTTTGAGAAATCAGCTGACAGTCTTATGGGAACTCCTTTGTAGGTTACAGACTGCTTTTCTCTTGCTGCTATAAGACTCTCTCTTTGTTTTTAACCTTTGGCATTTTGATGATGACATGTCTTTGTGTGGTCCTCTTTGGGTTCATCTTGTTTGGGACTCTCTGTGCTTCCTGCACTTGTATGTCTGTTTCGTTCACCAAGTTAGGAATGTTTTCTGTCATTGTTTCAAATGGGTTTTCAATTTCTTGTTCTCTCTCTTGCCCTTCTGGCACCCTTATGATGTGAATGTTGGCATGCCTGAAGTTGTCCCAAAGGCTCCTTACGCTATCCTCATTTTTGGGGATTTTTTTTTTTCCTGTTCTGATTGGGTGTTTTTTGCTTCCTTATATTCCAAATTGATGGTTTGTTTCTTGGCTTTGCCTTCTCTACTATTGATTCCAATAAATTATTCTTTATTTCAGTTAGTGCATCTTTCATTTCTGACTGGTCCTTTTTTATATTGTTGATGTTCTCACTAAATTTCTTGGAGATTTCCTTACGTTCCTTGAATGTCTCACCAAGTTCCTTGAGCAACCTTATAACCTGTTTTCTGAACTCTGCATCTGATTGATTCCTTATCTCCATTTTATTTAATTCTTTTCCTGGAGTTTTTGTTCTTTTCTTTCATTTGGGACATGTTTCTTTGTCCCCTCATTTTGGCTGCTTCCCTGTGATTGTTTCTATGTATTAGGTAAAGTTGCTATGTCTCCTAGGCTTCATAGCATGGCCTATTGTTTTAAGTGTCCTGTAGGATCCAGTGGCACAGTCTTCCTGATCACCTCAGCTGGGCCCTCGAGGTGCACCCCTAGTGTGGACTGTACACCCTTCTGTTTTAATTGAGTCTTAATTGCTGTTGGCACATCAATGGGAGGGATTTTCTTAGGCTGATCAGCTATAAGGACTGGTTGTGCCCACTAACCACTGGCCTCTGACTTCCTTGGAGGATTAGTTGTGTAGGGGCCCACCACACTGAGCAAGACTTACTTCATCAGGGCTCTGGTACCCACTGAATCTACTCCTTGAGTGTGTCACTTGTGGAGGTGGTTGGGTGGTGGTGTTTCAATGTGGTCTGAAGCTGTCCACTGGGTGTGCTGGCTCTGGGGTAAGGTCAGCCTCCACCTGTGTTCTATCCAGGGCCACCGGCATAAGCTACAAAGTGATCTCCTGATGGCTGCTGCTTTTACTGGGCTTGGAGGTACCCGGAAAAAGCCAAGTTGTGAACCAAGGCTGGCTGCTTCTAGTACCAGGCCTGGGGCCACTTAACAAGAGGTAGGGGACTTGCTCAGACCAGATGCTGCATATTGGAGAGATTTTAGGAAACTCTGAAGCTTTGGAAACAGCTTGGTTGGGCCCAAAAGTTGAGTGGGGCAGGGCCTCAGGGAATCACCAGCATGGGGAAAATAGTGGGAGCCAGTTTGCTGGAGTTCCGGATATGGGGGTATCTGCCAACCCAGGGAAGGTTTCACCAAAGCAACATCAGCCTCCACCAGTGGGTCTGTCCAGGAGAAAGCTGCCTCTCTAGTCCTCATCCTGGGGCCAAACAGCTCAGTTCTTCCCTGTGTGTCTCTGGTGCCTTTCAAGCTGCCTCCCCTCCAAGCTCAGAGGGAGCAAGTTGGAGTAAGGTCGTGCGCGGGCCCTTTAAGAGGAGCTGCCTGGGGCTCCAGCAGCTTCAGCCTCCATCTGCCACAGTTCTCGCTGGTTTTACAGCCAGAAGTTATGGGGATTCTCTTCCTGGCACTGGAACCCTGAGCTGGGCACCTGCTGTGGGACCAGGACCCCTCAGTCCTCAGGGAGGACCTTCCTGGCCGAGGTGTCCTCCTGATTTTTATCCGCCACACGTGAGTGTGGGGCCAGCCCGTCCGCCTCCGCCCCTCCTACCCTCTCAATGTGGCTGCTGCTTTAATTCCGTAGTTGTAGGACTTCCATTCAGCTCGATTTCAGGTGGTTCTGAATGATGGTTGTTCTGTGGTTTAGTTGTAATTTTGATGTGGTTGTGGGAGGAGGCGAGGCCACATTATCTACGCCGCCATCTTGACCGGGAGTAGTCCATCTATATCAAATTTTTAAAAAATAATTGAAAAGCTGCCCAAAATACAGATACATGTACCACTTTTAAAAGTATTCTTAAAATCCTGGTGAATAGCAGCATATTTTGGAAATGAAGTCAGAATTACAATGATAAAAGATAATGAATGAATCCCATTGTAAAATATAGAATACTGAAATAAATAACATGAATTTTAATTCTACATATTTTCTAGATCCTGAAAAATGATATATATAATTTTTCCTTGACCCTGAAAAATGATATGCAAAAATCTTATTTAAGCTTTGAAGTAAGGAAAACCTCATTTTGATCCTAATAGACTATATACCAGCTAAGGGCTTGGCTTGTTACTTAGCCTCTCTGAACCCGTTTCCACATCTGTAACACCAGGATAATAAAACCTATTATTATCAGGCTCATATAAGATCAGGTGGAAGTTCCCACATGGTGCCCGTCACATAGCCTACAGACGGTTTTCTCTTATTATTTCAGGAATGATACAGTTATGTTTTGTTTGCTTTTAAAATTTAGTTTCAATATAGAGCAACACATAAATAAAAAAGTAATTAAAAATATATATGAGCAAAGTTGATACAGAAAGGACACAGAAAATTTATTTATAAATGGTATATGTTAATGAACTTAAAGTAAAGCTTTTATTCAACATTCAACATTTATTTGGCTATTTTAAAACCCAAGGCAAAAAAATGTCTTTCATGACACTCAATGAAAACAATGCACTAATGACCATTCACTTTAAATATTTATAGAAAGTTTAGTGGAGGAAGTGAGCTAAACCAAGGAAGGAGTTCCTCTGGAGACCTCAAAAGAATGTTTCCGAGCCATGCCAGTGTGCCTCTCCCCCGAGAAGAATGGTCAAGTAATCCTGCCCTCTGTTTCTCCAGGGAGAAGCTGGCTGTGGCCCGACTGCAGCGAGAAGTTGCCCAAAGAAGAAGTGAGGGGGCCATGGTAAGTCCTGGCTGGTCTGTCCTGACTCTGTGCCCCCTTCCACAGGTCTCTGTCCTGATTCTGCACCCCTTCCAGAGGTCTCTGTTCTGATTCTGCACCCCTTCCAGAGGTCTCTGTTCTGATTCTGCACCCCTTCCACAGGTCTCTGTTCTGATTCTGCACCCCTTCCAGAGCTCTCTGTTCTGATTCTGCACCCCCTTCCAGAGGTCTCTGTTCTGATTCTGCACCCCCTTCCAGAGCTCTCTGTTCTGCTTCTGCACCCCCTTCCAGAGGTCTCTGTTCTGATTCTGCACCCCTTCCACAGGTCTCTGTTCTGATTCTGCACCCCCTTCCAGAGGTCTCTGTATGATTCTGCAACTTCCTAGAGGTATCTGTTCTGATCGCACCCCTTCCAGAGGTTCTTTTTCTGTCTGCTTCTGCCCACCCCTTCCAGAGGTTCTCTGTTCTGAATTCTGCACCCCTCCAGAGGTCTCTGTTTCTGCTTCCTGCACCCCTTCCAGAGGTCTCTGTTCTGGAATTCTGCACCCCTCCAGAGGGTCTCTGTTATGATTCTGCAACCCCTTCCAGAGGTTTCTCTGTTTTGATTCTTGCACCCCCTTCCAAGAGGTCTCTGTTCTGATTCTGCACCCCTTCCAGAGGTCTCTGTTCTGATTCTGCACCCCCTTCCCGAGGTCTCAGTTCCTGATTCTTGCACCACTTCCAGAGGTCTCTGTTCTGAATTCTGCACCCCCTTCCACAGGTCTCTCTTCTGATTCGCACCCCCTTTCACACGGTCTCTCTTCTGATTCTGCACCCCCTTCCAGAGGTCCTTCGTTTTCTGATTCTGCACCCTTTCCAGCCGGTCTCTGTTTCTGATCTGCACCCCCTGTCCACAGGTCTCTCTTCTGATTCTGCACCCCCTTCCACAGGTCTCTGTTCTGATTCTGCACCCCCTTCCAGAGGTCTCTGTTCTGATTCTGCCACCCCCTTCCACAGGTCTCTGTTCTGATTCTGCCCCCCCCCCTTCCAAAGGTCTCTGTTCTGATTCTGTACCCCCTTCCAGAGGTCTCTGTTCTGATTCTGCACCCCCTTCCAGAGGTCTCTGTTCTGATTCTGCACCCCCTTCCACAGGTCTCTGTTCTGATTCTGCCCCCCCCCTCCAAAGGTCTCTGGCTTGAAAGGCATTTTGTCTCGTTAAAGATAGCTAAAGAACATATTTTCTTGCAGCAAACTGAATGTGGTATTTGTAAATAATGTGTTTATAATGTAGTGTAGATAGCCCTGCTGTTTGCAGAGAGAGGAAGGGTGGGAGGGAGGGAGAGATATTAAGAAAAATAATTATTTGGGCTTTGAAGAGGATGTTCAGATGTTCAAGAGGGAGTAAGGCTTCATTTCCTTCAGGGCTGTTGGATGCCCAGGCTTCCAGCTGTGAGCACAATACCCATGAACCAGCCGTCTTAGATTTAGGTTTTCAGATAAGGACAGTTCAACATAAGTCAAGCTTTTCAGTTCTTTACACTTAAAAACAAACCACCCAAAAGAGCACTAAGATGTTTGCTCATGTCTTGTCTTTGACCCTTTTTCTGTCTTCACTGCTTGCGGTACATCTCTGCCAGCCCTTTCCAGCGTGTGCCATTTAGAAAACTGTGTTTTGAATTGCACTAAAAATCACTATGGTTGTTCTGGTCCATTTCAACTTCATTTTATAGACTGTCGTTGCCAAAGTGTCTACCGGTGTGTCCACTCTAACATCAGAGATGACCATCTGAGGACCCCGGGGATGTACATGTGTGGATTGACTACTTCTGAGGAAGAAATATCATACCAATTTTTCCCCACTTATGATAGAACAATAGGACATCTACAGTTTTTCAGCAAAATAATTCACTTTTTTGAAAAAGAGAAATGAGAAGTGATGCATTTTTAGATCCTGAAGGGCTGCTTCCATTTGATTTCTTGAGAGTTCATTGATAATCTAAACACTGAAGAGTAAGAAATTTAAAAAATATGCTAGCCTCACACTTCTCTGAACAGGGCAAGCAAAGGGCTGGAGCAAGACGCAGAATGTCGAGTGGGCTCGGAAGGCACGGTGGCTGTCAAGCATGCTGAAATATGTAGGTGATCATGGTGTTTGCTCTGTCAGTTATCTTAATGCAAAGTGAATCCTGAATGTTCAAATAATACAAAGCAACTGCTCACAAGCCCTTTTGAGCAATGAATTGGAAATAAGTTGGAGAAAATGAAGGTTTAATCAAATGGCGAACTGAAAATTGTCAATCTAGAATTTTATTGCATTGCAAAATATGTAGGGCTCGGCCATCTCTCAGCATTTCAATCTTTTGCTTAGGGCTAGCTCCTGTTCAGCTAGGTTCCAATGGACTGTGAGGAAGTAACTTAATTTTTCTAGGTCTTGGTTTCTTCATGTTTAAAAGGAAGAGGTTGGAATTGTATGATTCCATTAGGTTATTGGATCAGGCTACTGGACATTTGTTCATATAACCTTTTTATGATGGGGAGCTCTTAGATGTTATTTAAGCTCATAAAAATAACAAGCCTTTTAAGACTATCTTTCTGATTCTGACAGTGAATGGGCCTGAGATGAAATAATCACAGACAGCTAACTCTCTTGTCTTTTACAAAACAAAACCCTCTTTTAAAACATTATAGAAGTAATTGTTCAGTGCAGAAAATACCCAGAAAACAGAGGCCAACAGAAAGATGACTCTAGTTGCTCAAAAACAACGTTGGAAATGTGTCCAGTGTTTTATTACTCTTAATTTAAAGATGGTAGTGAAAAGAATCACATTTATGTATTGATTGGTTCAGCAAATATTTATGTTAGTACTCACTGTGTGTCCAGGGACACCCTAGGCCCTGGGAAGACATCAGTGAGAAAAACAGGCAAAAATCTGAGCACTTCCATTCCAGTGGTTGTGGAAACAGACATTCACAGTAATTAGAGTGTGAGGCGGCAGAAGCAGCTATGAGAAAATAAGATCAAAGCAGGGGAGATTGGGAGTTCTGGGAGATGACTATTTTAAATGGAATCTTCCTAGTAGCAAATCACTGAAAAGTTGGTATTTGAGAAAAAATGGAAGGGGGTGAAGGGGTGAAGCGTGGTGCCGTCTGGAGGAGCGTTCTAGGCAGAGATGAGCAAGCGCAAAGGCCCGAGTGCCCGAGAAGCAGCGTGGAGACACGATGGTTGGAGGGAAGTTGGGGGGCAGGGGGCGCAGTAGAAGATGAAGTCAGAGAAGTGACAGAGCAGAGGGGTAAGTCGCCAAGGTCCCCGGGGATCTCTGGCCCGTGCTCTGGCTGGAGCCATTGGAAGGCTTTGAGTGAGGCAGTAATATGATCTGATTTACTACTATTCACATGACTGCCATATTCGCCATTTCATAATTGATCACATTTCATGTCCCTAGAGACACCATGAGCCCTGATGTTCATTAATGTCCTTTATTCGGTTTTGTTTTTTTCCTCCCTCTTTGTCAATATTTCCCCCTTTTTTTCAGGTAGTCAACCCCCCTGAATTTTCTACTTAATTATATGCTTCAGCTTTTTGCTCCTCAGATTCGTTTATTTCTGAAGGCCTAATTCTTTCATCCGACAGCTCCTTACATCAGGCAGTTCAGTTAACCCTCTAAACTTAATTCTTGCTATTACAAGCCCAGAACGTTAGTCACAACCATAGCAGAAAGGGGTTCATCACAACCAGATCACCTTATGTTTTAAAAGACTACTCTTTATAGTATCCTATATTTTTATTCACACAAAAAGAAAAATGGTATGCAAAGAGTTATCTAAAAATATTTTCAAAAAGTTATATAATTGAGATAGATATTTTTATTTTTTTGGTACACGCCCCTAACAGAAACCGAACCCGAGACTCTCTGGTCTGCAGGCCAACGGTCCAACCGCTGAGCCAAACTGGCCAGAGCTAGATATTTATTTTTAAAATCATTGAGCCTGTTATAATCAATGAACCTGTTATAATCAAAGTCTTTAATACAAATCATGTCCTTATTAAAATGTGACTTTATGCAATAAATCTCTTTACACATAAATTTTAGGAATAGCACCCAAGGCACAATTTTTGAGATATTTCTTTCATTTTTTAACACACTTTTTATTTTGGAATAACTTTAGACTTACAATAAAGTTGCACACCTGCATACCCTTTAACCAGTTTTGTAGTATTAACATCATAACATAACTATGGTATAATTATCAAAACTAAGAGATTAACATTGGCATGTTGCTCTTAACTGAACTCCAGATTTTATAAGAATTTCACCAGGTTTTCAAATAATGTTCCTTTTCTAGTTTGGAGTCATGTAGAGAGGTTCCTTTTTTATTTTTTATTTTTATTGTTGAAGGTATTACCGATGTCCCACTTTCCCCCCATTGATCCCCTTCTCCCGCCACCCCCACCTTCACCACACTGTTGTCTGTGTCCATTGGTTGTGCATATATTCATATCATTTTTTTGGTTTATCTCTTCCCATCCCTCTGACCCCCCATCTCTTGTTGACACATATGTGAGAGGAAAAAGAACATGAGCTTGAGTATGAGACAGGTCTGGATTCAAAGTCCAGCTCTACCTCCAGTTGTTAGTTTGTGTGACCTTGGACATGTATGTTATTTTACTGGTTTTTATCCACTCTGCATGCTCTACGGTTTTATTAACTCAGGTCTTTGAGAACGCTTTCTTTCAATATTTTAGATGTTTCATGTTTGTTTCTTTTGTTCTTAACTCTTTTTCCACAAAATAACCACCACCATTGTTTTTGTACTTACCTTTCCTTATTATTCACAAACAGCTGTAACATTATATTTCTCCTAATACTGGGAAGTTGTGTTTCAGGTTGTGCTTCCTATCACTGGCTCAGTTTACTGCAAGACCTGCTCTTGTCCTTGAGCCTCCACTGTCATCCTACATTTTGTTATATGTAAAAAGGTCTATTCCACCCCAAGAGTATAAAGATATTCATTCTTATTATCTTCTATAATATATATAGTTT